TCGCCAAGCAAATTCAACTGGAAAAGTCAGTCGGACGTGGACGTTACGGTGAAGTTTGGTTGGCCAAATGGCGTGAAGAACGTGTTGCTGTCAAAGTTTTCTTCACCACTGAAGAGGCGTCATGGTTCCGTGAAACAGAAATCTACCAAACCGTATTGATGCGTCACGAAAACATCTTGGGTTTCATTGCTGCCGATATCAGCGGAACCGGAAGCTACACGCGAATGTTCTTGATCACCGATTACCATGAAAATGGTAGCCTACACGATTATCTCCAGATGCACGTGATTAGCCCACGTCAGTTGCAAGAGTTGGCCCATTCACTCACTGCCGGATTGGCGCATTTGCACATGGAAATCTTCAGCAAACCAGGCAAACCAGCCATTGCGCATCGCGATATCAAGAGCCGAAATATTCTAGTGAAACGCAACGGACAGTGTGCCATTGCTGACTTTGGTTTGGCTGTCAAGTACAACAGTGAATTGAATGAAATCCACATTGCACCGAATACTCGTGTCGGAACACGCCGATATATGGCACCAGAAGTGCTGGACGAATCATTGAATCCAACGCAATTCGATTCGTTCAAATACGCGGACATTTACTCGGTTGGTTTGGTATTTTGGGAAATGGCTCGTCGTTGTGTGACCACAATTCCCGGTACCAAGAGCACCGCATCCGAAGATTACGCCTTACCATATCACGATATGGTTCCATCCGATCCAAGCTTTGAAGATATGTACGACATTGTGTGCTCACAAAAGATTCGCCCACCCATCCCAGAGAGATGGCAAGATGAGGAGATTCTTCAAGTCCTATCGAAAATTATGGTCGAAGCATGGCATCCAAAGCCAACGGCACGACTCACCGCGCTGCGAATAAAGAAAACACTGATCAAAATTCAAACAGATGGATCCAGTCAAATCGTCTAGTAGTAGGGGTATAAGCTAGCTATTCAATAAGATTTTATTTCTTGTATATTTGACGCTTTGATAATTCACTTCTATTTGTTTTTTGGTTTAGTCCCGTTTTGTTTGCGAATTTATTACCTTCGCATTTAATCGCAGCTACACGTGTAGTGAATAAGAAACAAACTATACAAACTATGATTATATTAACAGAATAAACGAACACAAATACATTTTAAAATACACAAATACAGACAGATACACCTGACAAGAATTCTGATTTAGACACTAGAGTCTCCTAAAATCCAAAATGATACGAAACGATATATGCAATCGAAATCATATTTAAGTAATTTTTAACGATTTTTGTTAGCTGTAACTTTAGGAATGAACGCGAACGTATTCGATAAGACAAGAAAACGATTCGACGATTAATTTTTTTTTTCAAACCGAGACAAATTGCAAACTCAGTGATATGTGTATAATGAAAGTGTATGGAAAACTCATGGAAAAAACAAATAAAACACGAAAAAACAAATAAAACACGAAAAAACAAAACAAACAATTTATTGAGAGAAAATATTCGGAACAGAAACACTTTTGTAAAAAGTCAAATTCAAAATTCACCAAAATTCAACAAATTGAACGCATCGAATTGAGCCTTAACGAAATTCAGAAATGCCTCTGGTTTTATCTACTGGTGCCTTTTCACAGAGCCGACTATAATTTTAACTTTGAAGCCAAATTTTCTTTTTAAAATATTTTTGCAAAACAAATATTCTTCTGATACAATCACTTTTCTCTCTCTTTATTTTCAAAGAAAATTCACATACACATACAAAAAAGAAACCAAAATCAATGACAGCAACAAGAATAAAATAAAACAAATAACAAAATGCCATTACTTTCTCTCTTTTGTAAATAATTTATTTCTTTTAAATTAATGTTCGACTGCATTTAGAGATTCAGCACATTAAGAGTTAATCAATCATTTTAGTTGTAGCGTGTATGAAAGTTTTTAATTGTATTTTGCATGTAGATTTTTTCTTCTGTTCATTGTAAATGCGCTCACTTGATGCATCGGGCAAATGAATCAATTGTCACTGGTGCCGGTGGCGGCATTTTTTAAGCAAAAATCGAACATTGTACACATACGTGAAAATTACATATTAAGAACTGACTTTTGGTTGAATAAACTCTCATATTGACGTATTTGGAAAATTGCCCGATGTTTTTCTTCTTCTTCTTTCCTCTGTTTTATTATTCCTAAATGAATCATTGCTATTGGCTGCTGACAGACGAATAGATGAATTGAAACGTGAGTAAAACAACAGGTGCTTACGATTGCTCGCAGCTCTTTATTTAACAATACAATATTCGAAATTCATTAAAAACACTAATTAAACTGCTATCTTTGTTCGACTATTTCTTTGAGAATGGGTTCAATTTCGAAATCCACGATTTTTTCCTGAAAAAAGCAAAGAGAAAAAAATGGTTTTAGAATTAATTTGACAAAAATGGACAATTAAAATGAATGGATTGATGGAATGAGCTCAAAATGTGGAAATCAAAGTGAAACTTACTCATCTCCAGAATAATCAACAATTTTTCCTTGTTCCGTGCGAACGATGCGCTCAACATTTTCCATGCCAGATTCTTTCAAATCTTCGATGAGCTTTCGCCGAAACTCATGTTTCAAAGGGACAATCTTGGCTTCAGCTTCAGCTCGAAGGATTTTTGCTATGCGATTAGAACAAAATTACAGAATGATATGTGAACAATGACTGCATTCAACCTACCTATGCGATTAGTTGCATCCAATATGGTATATCCGTACCAATCAGCTTCCTCAGGTGTGTACTGGAAATGAGAATGTCAAAAATGTAAGTAATTAGTAATGAATTAACAAAATTGATAGGTAATCATCATTAATAACAGATATACCGACAGTCATGACCAACAACTAAGCTGATGACCTACCTGATCACCATATTTCCTGTATTTGGCCAACATTTCCTTTTGCTCTTCGGGTTCATCAGCCCATCCAGGGATACCAGCATGAATAGCCTTGATCATTTGACGCTTGATTGCCAAGGCAAGCTTGGTTTTCAGATCATTTGCCCTCGTCTGTGGAATGATGAACGAAAATAAAGAATAATTTTAGATATAAACTCTTTTTAAGAATTTGAACATTGAAATAAACAGATCGTCAACTCAAAACGAGGTAAAAAATCGTTAAAAAGAAATTATCTTTCGAAAAATTTGCAATTTTGGTCCAACTTGGTGCCTTATTCGAAACTTTTCTTCGATAAAAAATCAAAAATCTTCATTTTATTGACTGAATCACCTGCATAATATATTCG